ATGTATGAACGAGAAATCACTTCTGTCATACGAGTTTCAACTATTTGACAAATTCAACTAAGTCTCTTTCTCTTATTTTTATTAGAAGGAAACAAACATTTTTATTTTTTTCCCCAAATTTTCCGGGTTTTTAAACGACCAAAGGGTTAATTAGATGCAAAACGTTAGGAGCCTTTTGTACACACTTGCATGTTCGTTCCTAGTCGGATTGCTCGATCCGGTCAAAGGATTTAATAGAGACCTGTGACGATAAGCGGGGAATCGGTCGTTGACAGATTTGCTAGACACCGCGACCAGCTGAAAATTGAAAGTAGAAACGCGTTGTTTGATAAGCGATCTCTGGCTCGCGGTTCGACGCGCGTCACAGCCCAAAGAGAGGACACATACGTTATTTTTTTCTGTTTTTCCTTTTTTTTTTTTTTTTTTTTTTTTCTTTTTTTCCCCGTCGACGATGGAAACTTCGTGTGGAAACGGCTAACGAGTTCGCACATGATAGGACAACAACAGGTCCGGCGTTTTCCTCGGCATGACAGCGTGAGCAACGCGTTCGATTCTCTATGGGTGGGACGCCGTCGTCGTCCCATAGGTGGCCGCTGGCGTACCGAGAGCAAATCGATGGGAAAAAAAGTTGGGATACGCGCGCGAACGCGTCGATATGACGTTATCCAATTAAAAAAGCTGCCTTTGTGTAACCCGATCTGTCGTAGTCGGCAGCGACAGCCACAGTCTATGCCCGTTACTCTTCCAATCTAAACCAACCCTTGTTGCTCCGTGGCAGCGCAGCGGCTTGAAAGGCTGCATCCAATTAGTACATACCTTCTACTCTATTGTAGCGAGGCTATACGTATGCCAACGATCGTGGGTAGTCGTGGTCGCGATATCTTTGCCAGCGGACTTTCCTTTTATTCAAAAAGAGGAAGAGAGAGAGAGAGAGAGAGAAACTAAAGAAAGGAAGAAAGAAGACAGGATACGCATTAGAAAAACAGAGCGCTTAATGAGTTGTAACACTCGTTAAAATTGGAGCGGACCGATTGATCATATCAGGGACATCGATTCATTTGTGCTTTTTGGATTTATGTCTGCACCTGGGGCACATCTATTGCAAATAAGCGATTCTGTCTATACTAAGAATATACACATGGATACATATTCTGATGAAATGGCGCATGGATAAATTATTGTTGTGAAGATTGAAATGCAATCGCAAGAGTTATTTGGATCGAATGCGTTTCGACATTTTAAAGTTCAATTTTTAACAACATAATTAGATTTGTTGTGTATTCTGAAATACCAGAATGTTAATCTTTAATACAAATATAAAAATCCGAAAGTTGTATGTTGTATTTGTATCTGTGATGCAAGAGGAAAGAGAACAAAAGAAAATGATAAATGTATGTCTACGATAGGATTGTTTGAATCGAATTGAAGATGAAGTAAAATTGAAGATAATTGAATTGAATTGAGGGTAAAATGTATTTAAATGAAATACGTTTGAATTTAGCGCTGATATCTGTCGCCATCTGTAGCAAAGGATCGCAACTCTCTAGCAAAGCTCATACCACAGACGAAATATATTTGAATAGACATTGCATGACCATATTTCGCGGCAATGGTAATACCATTTTTCGTGTCACATCCTGTTGTACCGATTTTGCGACCGCAGCACTACTAGTGGGGAAAATTAAAATTAAAAAAATATGAACAGTGTTGCCAGTTCTGTTTCGAGAATTATTTATTGAATTGAATGGTACTTCATCAATGAAGGAATATAAACAGCGAAACTAATGGAAATTGGGATGAAAAATTTAGTACAACAAGTCTTACATGGTTGCTACATTTCTGTTACTGTTGATTGTCCGTCGATTCGACGAAATGGTTCAACTAGCAAAATAGGCGAGTTAGAGGACTTTTCGTATGTTTTCATATCCGCCCGACCTACATCGAAAATTATTTCATATTGACTTAAATGTGAACGCTTTCTTATTTGCATAGCTATTCTTAAAAGACGACCAATTTAATTTTTTGACTGTAATATAATTATTTTTTACATAAATTAGTATTATATGTCACAGGCTTATAAGTTGACGTTTAGTACAAAATCAACAGAATTATAAGTTAAAAACTACCGTGCAAACGTTTCATTTTGTAAAAAATAT